TCTCTCTCTCTCTCTCTTAGATAACGTAATATGCACACATGTGCACACACTTGTATATGCATGCATGTGTGTAGGATGCACACGCACACATGCATGTCCATGTGATTAATTGTATGCATGTATACATGCATGTGCCACACTGAAGGTCCTCATTGGATGCGCAACATGTCTGCAAATCGACAGCGTATGTTTTAGCAGTCACATGTCATGTGTCGATCTATATATATAAGCCCCATCCCAATGCAGCCTCAAGGTTCTTTTGCTGATGTGGACGGAGAACATTGACCTGCAAATGCAAATCGAAATGTTCGAGCTCTTCAGTGGACGGGCACGTGTAACGCAGACTTTCCGTGAGGCTGGCAAAGCATGTGTGAACTATGATTCTAGCTATGACCCTGGTGGCTCTGCTATGAACTTCCTTTCGGATGGTGGGTTTGCGTTGAAAGCTCAGCATGTTCCGTGTGCATTATATAGATCGAGTATGTGCATGGCTCAGCTGATCCAATGAATGTGGTCATATGTTTGGCATCTAAGGCTAGCTATGACCTGTGTTTTGCGAGAAGGCCCAAACGCCTTCAATATGTTGGCCCCTACATGCTCTAGTTGGTGCACCACGAACCGAGGGACATCGCTCCGTTCTGCAATCAACCCGGGCGGGCGGGCTTCCTTGGATTATGTCCGGGAGGGTACACTCACCTTATCAAGGTTGGGCCACAAACTTAATCATATCCTAGAAACACTTGGCTAAACCCTAAACCCTAAACCCTCGTATAGCTACAGTATAGGCATGTTGATTTTGCGGCAGCATCCAAACCCAAACTTTTTCATGCCCGATCAAGATTGGTGCTCCTACTCCTCCTCATCCTGGCAGTGCATGGTGTATTCTTGCTGGAGCAGCCCCGTGGTAGTGAGCAAGTGTTTGCATTCCATCCACGGTTTTCTTGGTTTTGCAACCATGTATGCTATGTGCCTGGGTCTGCACAATATGGCCTCGACCCCATCCCTAGAACCTGAATGTAAAGGAGCAGACCCCCAACACCCAGGCCTGAGCCCATGCTCAAGAGGCTTTGTTTTGGGGTGTCTGGAGGCTCGGGAAGCCTATGATTGTTAGGGCGGGTCTGGGGTTGTATGCTATATATTAAATACTCGATCATTAACCTATAGAATTAATTGGTACACCTTCCCTGTCCTAGGTGTTCAAGACAAGTGTCTGGCTCCAGCGGTATGGAGCGCCTTGTCCCAAGCCGACGACCTTGTGGACAAATTCAAGCATCATGGCTCAGGGGTTTGTTCTGGGCTCAGCTGACGAGCTGGATGATTGTGGCTCACTTGTAGATCCAGCTGAATCCGTGCCCCAAGGATAGTAGACCTCCTACACGTGAAATGAGGGCCTCTACCAAGATCACCACGGTACGCTAGAGCCTTAATTGGACGGGTTAATGTGTACAGCCAATAGCTGTTGTACTTCCGAATATTTAATGCTGTGTCTCGTGCAATCGATCAAGGTCGGTACACTGATGCCATGGGTGTGCGGAAGTTTGTGGGGAACAAGCAGGCTTTGAAAGACAGTGGGTGGGCCTTCAGCAAATCAGGGCTTTTGCTTCAAGGTCGATGTCGATGCCTGTTCGTGTGTATTGTAGGGATTATAAATATAATTACTAGTGACACAGTGAGCCCCTACGGCCCCAGCCCAGGATCTATGCCAAGGCCTTTGCCCAGCATGTGCTCTCTCTCTGGGATGATGAGCGGGAGAGTCGGCAGCCCCGCCTCAGCATGCGGCAGAAAGTACATGTACGTACCGACGCCACAGATAAGGAGTTGTTTCAGGGTCTGGCCATGAAAGACCCGTGGCCAGATGCAGAGATGGTTTCTGTGTGGGCATACCTCTACAAGAACAAGTACCTGAACATCCCTCTGACCTGGCAGTCCATTATGTCTGAGTTCAATAGTGCACTCCTCGACACAGCTCCTAGACTATCCTTATCTTTCAAATACAGTAGACTTAAGAACCCCGAACCAGCCACAAATCATGACCCCTCTCAGGTTCTGCATGGCCATCCACTTCGTGCTGAACTGGATGGTGCCCGGGCTGGTCGGTAAAGGCCAACCAGGACAAGAAATGCAAGCAATTCGCTTGAGGTGTTGGTGTTAGGAAAACACTTTTTGCTCGGGCGGAAATGACCGCAAAGCGGGCGCAAAAGCGAGGCAAACAGGCGCAAATACGCGCAAAAGGCGCAAATCGCGATTCCTGCCTTTTTGCCTGTTTTAGATTATCTAAAAATGCTGGTAATGCACCCTCTTGGGCATGGAGCTGCCTGATCCATTCCACTTGTGATGTCCTATCGCTCAGAACTTAAGAGGGCATGTCGGTAGTTCGGTCTTTGACTTGCCAGTCTCTTGAACTGGGCTTGGCCATGGTTTCCCAGCAGTGCCAGCCTATGGACATGATTGAGTTGGATGAACAGATTGCAGACCCCCGACATGCATACACATCCTCCTTTGCTAATTTGCTGCTACATATTCAATCGTCACCATGAATAGACCTGACCAATCTCAGGAGCAGGCGAAGAAGGTCCTGGCTCTGCAGCAGGAACTTGCTGCCTTTGAAGGCACGGATGGTCAAGGACGGATCCATTATGGCCCATCGCTTTTGACTTAACTGCAAGGGCTCGACTTTTTTGCTTTGGGCTAATCTTTAATTGTGGGCTTGGGGTTCCTGGTATTCAAGGTTCGGGTCATGGGCCACACCCTCCTAAAAATACCAGCTAATATATATAAATGCAAATGTAATATATATATATATACACACACTATTCATGACTATATGTTATACATGTATGTATATGCAGTGTCTTACACATGTGTGTGTGTGTGTACATGTGGGCAACATCACACACGCACACACACACACACACACACATATATATATATATGTACAATATACACATATGAGCAACCAATGAATGCATGCATAGATATGCACAACTTATTAGGTCGACCATGCATATATATATATTATCCATTAACCTATAATTATATTGTCGATATATTGTATATATATAGTAGAAATAGTAATACTACATGCATGTATATGCATGTACTAGACTATATCTATATACACATGATGTATCGATCCTCACATATGATCGGTCTGAACCCTGAATGGTAGAGTCCTTGAAGAACACCAATGGATCATATATATTTAAACACTCCAGATTCTAGATAAGCTCAAAATCCCCGCCCGTGCCAACAGGACTTCCAGGCACCACGATGGTCCACGAAGCCGCTGTTGCTGGAGCTTTCTTACCAGGGCATGCCCATGGGCCTTCTAAGGGGCTTATGCCTCCTCCTCCGGCTCCTGTGTCAGCCCGGCCTGTAGCAACCCCGTGTCGTCGCAAGCGCAAGAAGCCCTCCAAATCCAACACTCCAGCCCAGGCGGCAGAGATTGGGAACGGTGACTTGACCCCTACTGTACTGCTCTCCCCAAATTCCCAGCAGAAGAAGATGAAGCCCCCTCCTCCTTCCCCAGCCCCCTCCAGTGCTTCGACTGGGTCCAGTAGTGGGCCATCTTCCTATGAGGATGGGACATATTGGAAGACACTTGTCAGTACACTAGGCTTACAATGCCAGTCTGCTTGCTAGCTGCTGCAACATGCATATGTTTCAACTAAGGATCAACAGATACTTCAAACCAAACAAGAAAGGTGCCCTGAAGTGTTCTGAGCAAGCAATGGCCCTCATGCAGACCCCGAATGGACGAAACCCAGCAGCAATGGAGCCGTCACTCAAGTTCTAGTGTGCCTCGATGTGCAAATCACGTAGTGTATTGACCTTAGGTGAAAAGATTCGAGAGCTTCTGATTCAGCATGGTGATTTCCGTGCTGTGGAAGTCGCGCTCACTAAGAGATCTGAGCAGTTGGCCCAGAATGACACGAAGGGTGGCTGGTACAGTGAGGTTATGTTAACCCAAAAGGGGTGGACCGAGTTGCACGGCAAGTGTCTGAATGCTTGTGAATTTGTGGTCTTTGTTTTAATGTTCGGACTGGAGTATACAATGCCTTAAGCTTTGTGGTCTATCTGCAGAACACCTAAGTTTCATGATCAAGAATGGTATTCGCTGGGCTACTGCTCGTGGCCTGACGAGAACCAATGAAGTTCATGGGATGGAGGAGTACAAAGTCCCGGTAGAGGAGGAGTTTATGTTCCGGAACAGTGAGTCGCAATCTGCACAGCAGACAGGGACTGTTGAAGTCCAGGCAATGGCTGTCCAAAACCCAAACTACCCAACCCAATAGAACTAATCATACCCTGCAACAAGCCCACACCTGATTAACTAGTCTATAAAACCTGAAACAGTTCATAGTTGAACCTCAACAGTCCAACCATTAATCCCACAGGATGCTACTGGCTCTTTGTTCACGAATTCTGTGACTGAGAACAGAGCGCTGCAGACGCTAGACTGCACAATGAGTGTGGATCGAATGATCGAAGTCACCAGACCCTGACACAAGCCCCAGCCTAAACCCTAAACTCATAAGTGCCCTGCCAAGCTTTCAGGGGCAATGGCCGCCACACCTCGGATGTGAACCATGCCCGAACGGCGGTGGCTGCGACAGCGAACTCTGCTCGAGAACGATGCCTCCCTGTCTTACAAGCCAACCAGGATGTGTTCAGTGCCTTTCCTGACAACCCAGCATGCCTCAAGAAGCTAGCTTATAATCCATCAGACTCAAACCTAGCCAGTGACTGAGGTGTTTTGGCCACGTACATCGACATGACCGGGAAAAAGGTTGACAAAGCAGTGGAGCTGCAGGTCTGCCACTGCATGCATGGACTATGCCTATACAGATAAGTGGTCTAGGGTTTACAGCTTGGGGTTATGAAGTCGTCGTTTTATCTTAGCAGGTCGAGGTACAGCTGGGTGTAGTAATCCCAGCTGTGATTGTATGGGTCAGTACAGGCATATGATAATATTATATATATATATATAATTTAATATATATACTAGGGCTAGGGTCTGGGTTATGTTGCTAGGGGACAGGCAGATTGGTTGGGGTTTGTGGTGGTGGGCTAGTGCATGAGTGGGTGAGCAATCGCAGGACAAGCTCAAAACTTCCGGGTCCAAGCGTGCCGTTGAGCTTCTTGCTTGCATTTCCAGAACCCTCAACCCCCTGCCCGTGTATACTAGTTCCAAAGTGGATTATCTGCCCAGGTTGGCTGGCGAGATGGAACCCAAGACGAAGGACTTGGAGTCCAAGCACAAGGAGCTTCTGCAATTCCAGACCGATGCAGTGCTGGATGCTGGCACCCCACCCAAGAGGACTGCATTATTGTAAATTGCCCCATCCCCTGAACTCTATATAGTATAGCCCCTTGCAGGTCAACGAAGGAAAATTTGCTGAAGTGCTATGCTATGTGCACACGCCTCGACCTAGCCATCAATGCTTTGATCGTACGTTCCAAGCCACTACACTGCAGTGTCCGGTATATGTGCCCAGGTCCTACATGTTGAGAACCGGTTCTGCAAATCTAAGGAATATTAAGGCCTCACCCAAGGGCAAGGCCAAGGCTTCCCCGAAGTCATCGGGCAAGTCGAAGCCGAAGAAGTCGACCTCTTCCAAAAGGAAAGGGCGCTAGATGGTGCCAGGTTTTTTGGTGGTCATCTATGTGAAGTATGTTCAAGCTGGGACAGCCATGCACCTGTGGTAATGACCCCCTGCATTAATGAACTACATGCATATAGCACTCTAGGACTTAAGTTGTCTGCTTCCCCTTGGGAGACTTGGCCACAGGCTTTTGCATGGTGCTCACGATTTTAATTATCATATGTGCATGCATACAGCATGTGTGCACTTGCAAGCCCGTGATGTGTGCTGGGGGATGAGGCGGCAAAAACTGTATGCTCAAACGTTCAGCAGCACTCCTAGACCATTCGATACACAACTCGATAACCTCAACTATAAGCCCTTCATGGCCAGGTGTTGCTCCTGATGAGCACCTTCAGTACTTGGCTGGGGGTAACTTGGCAGCTCTGGGGTCTGCTATTGTACTTTGTACATATTCATGAGTCTGCATGAAGTGCGCGTGTCTGTGCCCCAAGCCCCAAATCCTAAGCATCCCTAAACCGGTGGAGGGCCTCGTGGTGTTGATGATCAAGAAGATCGTGATCTGGACATGGAAGCGGCTGAAGAGATTCTCTCGAAATACTTTAGTGGAGCATCTTATCTGCAGCACATATGTTAATTTGCAACTTCAGGTCTATATAGGCCCCCAAATCATTCTATAATGCATGATCAGGCAGAGTCTGCAAAGGGTGCTGCCCAGATGGCCCGGCTGGTTTGCAATATTGGTGCTGGCCGACGTCTCTAGTCGGCAATATGAGGCGAGTACCCTTTGTGTGAAACTGCCCTAATGTTTTAATTCTGAATCTCCCAGGGCAGCTTGACATGCTCTACAAGATCGCTTCTGCTGGTCGGGCCAAGACTAATGTATGCCGAAACCTGCATCGGCTGATACACAGGGAAGGGGTGACCCTTCCCCTCGAAATTAGTTTAGTGCAGGTTCCCGTCCGAAAGAGAAGGCCATGTGTGAAGAAAGTCATGGTCTGGTATCCGTGCATCTACCCCAGCACCTGGATGTCCTATATGCTGGAGAACCAAAGCTATTTGGTTCTTGGGGGAGTGGATATTCAGGAACCCAGCAAGTGGCAGGGTATTCTGAATGACTTCTGGCAACAATACTTACTGTACGACGAGCAGCATATCATGAATGAGCCGGGATCGCCGCCGCAAACCCATACAATCCCCCTTTATCTGCATGGTGATGAAGGCCGTGGCAAATACAAGCTACCAGTTATGGTTGAAGCTGTCCAGCCTTGCTTGTCATGGAAGGGCACAGCATTCAAGAACTCCAGTGGGCCCCACGAAGTCACAAATGAGTCATAGCAGTTTTTCACAAGAGGGATTTATGCATTACATTAAATGAATTCCATTGCTTGGAATGCAAACCCAAGGCACACCTATACGACTCGATTTCTGTTCACCGTGGTGCCAAGTGAACTATACTGGAAAGATGCAACCCTCGACGGATTGAACCGGCACCTATGCAAGGACCTGGCTGCACTCTTCAAAGAAGGGCTTACCGCTCTGAGGTTGCAGCTGGTGCAGATTGATATTGTGGCTCCAGCCTTGGATCAAGCTAAGGTTGCAACCCCACAGGGCCCCACCAAGTTGCATTTTGCAATGATTGGGGTCAAAGGCGATTGGGTATATTTGCGGAAAGCGACTTATGTGCAGTTTAGAAAAGTGTTATCCAGGATTCTGCTCTCCATATTTCTTGATCTCTCACACTCTCTCCCTCCCTCACTCNNCTCTGGTTCAAACCTCTCCCTTAGTCTGTTGTCTGCACACCTAAGGTGATGTCATTGAAGACAGGATGGCAGTGTAAACGAAAATGTCATCTCTGCTGCAGTGTTGACTCTTGGATATATCGATCGCTATGGTATCTTAAGATAATATATTGTACATCCCTGAATCATCCAAGGATTGGTTCAATATGTCCCCTGAAGCTCGCTGGAGATATTCCAAGGGCGCAGCGCCGTTCAAGGCGAAGAGCAAGTCTCCGATCCTGAAAGTGCCTGGGCTTTCAGGTCCATCTCGGGCACTGGTTGACCCAGCTCACACATGGCACATGGGGCCTCTCTACTGCATATACTATAGGATCCTCCGAACTTGTCTACATCCTATGCTGCTGAAACTCCCAGCTGAGATGTGGCAAAGATTTCGTTTCAAGTGGGCTGGTGCTGCTGTGCAAACTGGAGTTGGTCCCTGGTCGTGGCCTGCCGACTCGTCTAGCTGATGCCTACTCTGACTTTGTGCAATGGTGCAGCCGACATGGAAAATCCACTAGCATACGGGGCTTCTCCAAAGCTGGCTTTAAAATGGGGTACCCTGAAAGCATCTAAGTAAATTATTCTTTGCTGTGGACTGTAGATGCATGGGAAATACTATACTGCTACATGCTGTACATCGATAACCAAGGAAAACCGGTTCTGGCTACCCAACTGCAACAGGGGGCCGAGGTGCTGACACAGCACTAATGACAGCATGGCTTGAGGACTTTGTGGACAAGCTTGATACTAGGCAGTATCCTTGCTTAAGTAGTGAGCTGGCAATAGCATAAACCGAACTGAGGAGTGCTCTGATGCTATTTTCTCAATGCTGGTGTATGTTCTGAAGTGCACCAACAAGTATTTTCGGATACTTCACTGGAGTGGCCTCTGGATTGATCCTGTTACATCTGGCCTAGTGGCAAAGCTATGTCACGAAATGTGCGACGCATGGCCCAAACTCTAAATGCTGATCACTTTCAGGGACTTGTACTTGGGAGATGAGACCTAGCATGGATTATCGATGGGATTCGTGATGTGGCCCAGGCTGGATATGCGTCTTTGGCCAGAGCTTCTATGGATCGTGGCTACGCATTGTTCCGGATGCGGCCGAAGCTGCACATGCAGGAACATTTCTCGCAACTTGCCTTATCATCAAATACTGCACAGAAGCATGGTGTGGATGAATACGTATGCATGCAACTCCCAAGGATAGTGCTCCAGTACTGTGCCGATCAAGGCATTCCATGCCTGAACCCCTTAAGTGCCTCGGCTTATGTTGCAGTTTGTGCATCAAGTTCGTTGATTCGTGTGACTAAACAATGCAACCAAGACAATGCCTGCTGGAGTGATGAAGACTTTATCGGCCGTTGCTCACGGGTTGCCCGACGATCGGGCACCCACGCTTTATCATGTGCTATACGCACTATGCAGAAGATGCTTGGTGCTTACAGAAGCCAGCTTGACAAGCAGGCAGCAAGTCGAGCTTGAAAAAACACTGGGGAGCCCGACGGAAGTGTTCGCAGCTTGCATCGGTGTTGAAGAGCATCATGCACATCAGAGTTTAGAGCGGGCGTTTATTCAAGCAACAGGCGTTTTCTTCTGAAACAGGCGGAAACCACCCCAAGCGTTCTATTCTCAACTTACCACCCCCAAACAGGCAAAAGATCTCCCCAGGCAAGAATTAATTATGCAAAGGGTTCTCCAGGTACATACATACATACATGCATACACAACTAACTAACATACCCTGGGAATCCGAGTATGCTATATAAGCATACTCGGAAAACTTGCTTTCAGGAGCATACTTGGTATTTTGTGGTACATGATACAGGATACAGGATTCATGATACATGCAGACATATGCCATGCCGTGTTGGCATCTGTCGTGCTTTCTTGTTGCAAATATGGACCAACCTGGGGAATTAATCCTCCGTCATGGGTGACACACACATCAAATCATTAACTTCAGGCAAGGCTAGAACGCCTTTCGTAAACGATGATTGCGCGCAGACTGGGAAGTCCGGGCTTGAGCCGGGGTTTGAGCCGAAATTTTCAACATCTTCTCTTCTGTCTCTCGGGTGAGACCTGCGATCTTGGGTGAGACCTGCGATGCTACGCAAACATAGTTCCAGGAGCAAGTGTATCCTGGAGTCTCCGTTCATGGCTTCGGTTTGCCACACAGTATCTCCTTCTGGGGTTTGCGGTTTGTCAAAATCTCCTGGGAAGCCGTCGGCTTGAGCCGTTTGAGCCAAAATTAAAAGACCAAAACATATGCTTACTATCTGTTCCCTCTATGCTTCTCGTCTTTATAGGGTTTAGGGTTGAGGGTTTAGGATGTTTAGTGTGTAGAATTTGTTGAGTATCCAGTCCAGGTCTGCGGGTTTGGTTTCTTTGTCCCGTGGCTTTAGGACTTCAGGTTCAAGGGGCTCGGCTGTGAGCTTTGAAGGCTTCACTTTAAAGTAGACGGTTCAGGGTTTTTCGTGTTTGGGGCTCAAGGGTGGGACCGGCTGTTCAGGTTTGGGATCATGGCTTTGAGTGGTTTAGGCTGTCAGCCTTCGGGTTTAGGGTTTTAGGGTTTTTAGGGTTTAGGGTGTTATTAGGGTTTAGGGTTTTAGGGTTTAGGGTTTTAGGGTTTGAGGGTTTTAAGGTTTCAGGGTTTTGAGCCTTAGGGTTTTAGGGTTTTAGGATTTAGGGTTTTTGGGTTTTGGGGTTTTGAGGTTTAGGGCTTTAGGGTTTTAGGGTTCTGAGATTTAGGGCTTTAGGGTTTGAGGGTTCTGAGGTTTAGGGCTTTAGGGTTTTTGGGTTCTGAGGTTTAGGGCTTTAGGGTTTGAGGGTTCTGAGGTTTAAGGCTCTAGGGTTTTAGGGTTCCGAGGTTTAGGGCTTTAGGGTTTTATGGTTTTGAGGTTTAGGGTTTTAGGGTTTAGGGTTTGGGGTGTTAAGGGGTTTCGAGCTTCGGCCTCAGGCTTGTTTGGGACCACAGCCTCGTTGTAGAGCTTCAACAGCCAAGTCACGACAGAGCTTAATGTATTGTGGATTGAGATTGAGTTCAGTTTTGTTTAGGTTCGGGTTTTGAGATCGGAGGCACCTGTTTTGGAGCAAGCAAACCCCCTTTAAATTAGGAAAGCCCACTGAACTGGAGCAAGCAAGCCCCTTTCGAAAGCCAACCGATATCGAACATCCTAGAAACTTATTCTGAATCCTGGCATTGAGAGCCATTCGCGGACGTCGTGAGCTTTTCAACTGGTCGCAACTCGGCGGCGCTTGCTTACGAACTGCCCCGGTCTCCAGACACGCTTCCGCTTTAACTCCCGGACCTTGTTCTCTTCCAGAAACCTTTGGGCTCGGGGTTTTTAGGGTTTCAGGGTTTATTCGAGGGGCTTAATTAAGATTCAAGTAAAACTTTCAACCCTAAACCCTAAACCTCAGAGGTTCTTATTTGTAGCCAAGCAGCCAGATGTACCATTTGTTGATGAGGGAGGCTTCAAGGTTGTCAGGTTGGCATTCTTTTGCGATGCCTGGGATTTGGGGCGACTGCAGACTCCTGAGCTAAGCCTAAGCCATAAACCATAAACCTAAATAAACAATAAACCCCAATGCTTTTCAGGATACTCTTTGCCAGTCCGATAGCCGATTCGTCACGAAAACAATGCTCATATCTACAGGAATAAAGTGTCGTTGTCATCTGATCCGCTAAATGCGCGAACACGTGGAACTTCGGCCGAATTTGCCATGCGAACCTAGAGGGTTTGAAGGCCCCGGGCTTTAATGGGTCTGAAGGATCTTAAATAGTGATTTACTAGAGTAGCATCAAAGAATGCGCGCTGCTGTCATTAAGTGACTCTTTTGCGTGTACAGCCAGTCGCGCCAGCTGCGCATATGATTGCAAAAACCCCAACGCACTGATCTGCAGCGAATCGGCCTCCTTCGTGCTCGGCAACACGTGCACCAAAACTGATGAATCCCTATTCTTAAGTTCCCGAAAAGACACGACAAGAACGAAAGTTCATACTGGAGCACAGAATTAAAACCAGGCACAGTCTGTGACAGGTACCGACCACACTGCTCCAGTTTTGCATACCAGGAATGCAAGTGATGCAGGCAAACACTTGCCAAACATATTCTGGCATCATGAGGATGTTCTTGGGCTGCTTGAAAGCACTCGGCTGCAAGCCAACTGGTCAAGATTCGCGAGTTGTATGCCTCCATTAGCAACAGGGATACGAAAAAGCCGGAACNNCAGCCAAACAAAAAAGCAGCACGGCGGCACAAGCAGCATTGGCAGGTATATTACATATGGCAACAAACTGAAACATAGATTGCCCTTTCGGTCACAGGCCTTCGAAGCGAACCAACAATACTCTTCGCCTCGTCTGATTAACATCCACCCCTTGAAGATGGGTTGCGAACACTGAACATGGTACATTCTGGTAAACCTTCGGAAAGAAGCGTACGCTGCACGAAACTGCGCGGCCTCGTCTGCGCCCTCATAAAAGTGCACTTTCAAGAGTTCATAAAACGCGCCGCCGTTAGCGAAGAGGCCGCACCCCAAATTAATGGAATGCATAGCATCAAAACGGATCATGGTATAGTGGAAGTCTTTCACAAATATGAGGCTGTTGAAGGGTTCGTTCAGCTCCTCCAGCAGAAATTCGCGATGCGTTCTTATGCTTTGCTTCCAGCTGGGGTTCTTGCGAAAGTCAGTGTATGCAAATGAAGAATCGACTTTGGACGCCTTGCAAATGTGGCAAATACCGTTGCAGCTGTAATAATGCTTCAGCCTGAAGCTTTGCACGTGTTGCTTCCAGTCGCCGCGGATCTCGCAGAGTTTGAAAACTCTGCCCCCGTACATAGCCTCTCCGGCCCGGTGATTTTCTAGCCGACAATAGCTGGATCCAGAATGTTCCGAAAAACCACTTGTGGGGTACTTTCCTTGCTGCATAATGTTGCACGACCAAGCGATGTAGCTCCAAACTGCATCCAGGGTTTGAGGCAGAACCCTTTCTGATCTTATGCAGAATAAAGGGAATCTAGATGTGAGCACCTTCGGCTTGTGTTCGTTCGGGCTGTGATCTGTGAGAGGAAAGCCTGGAAGCACAACCCAGCCTAAAAACAAAACAATATTAGCCATGCAACACCTCGACGACGGATAAATACTGCCATAATCAAGTAGTGGCCAAGTCTCTTCCCAGGAGCACAAAAATCTTTTCTTTAGAAACTGTGTACTCGGCTTCGTCAGCCCACAAAGCAAAGGGCTCGCAGCTGCCGTGATCGAACGTCAGCCCAGCCATCCAAGGCGTTTGCTGCCTCTCGTGGTGCCGCCAAAACTGTCTGGCAGCCTCTGGATCGAAGTGGATGCTCTTTGTCTCATAAAGCCAGGCAGTCAGAAGATGCGGGGGGACGATAGGCAGGTCCATGTCTACACTGTCAGTGCAGTGCTTTTCCGGTCGTGTTTTCACCGGCAAACGAATCTTGTCCAGTGGCACCGTGCTCGAGTCCTAGGTATATATTTGAAACCATTCGATCTCGAGAACACACTCGGCGTAGTAAATCTATCTATAAGTTACAGCGAACAG